TTTTTTGTAAATATTTTTTTTTTGAAAAAAAAAAAGTTTTTTTTTTTTTTTTTTTTTTTTTTTTGTCCCATGTGTACCCCTTTAAGTCAGATTAAACAACAGATGAGTTGAGTTATGACTCCTATATTCCAAAACTTAACTTAGCTTGTTTCAGCAGGAAACAGGAGGCTGCAGAGGCAGGTGAGAGAAACTCATGTGCAGGTGATGATTAGTTTCTTAGAAATGTTCTGGTTGCTTTGGAGAACATCTTTACAGGTAGCAAGCCAAGTAGAGAGAGAGAGAGAAAAAAAAGCATCTGTTTGCACACTGTCTCTATTGTTATACAATTCAGAACAAGCATTGTGTCTCTGCTTTGGTGGAGATTTCTGACAGCTTACATGGTGCTATTGCAAATTTGAATTTTAAAATCGATTCCTCTCAGTCAGACACGTAAACCTGTGAAACACTAAAACCTCTCTGAGTGTTAAAATTGATGAAAAGAACTAGAGAGTAATACAAAAGGTTTCAGGAACATCCAAGATTTTTTTTTTTTTTTTTTTTTTAATACACGAAAATGAAAGCCCTTAATTCATTATTCATTTATAGAGGTGATAGGGTTGAAAAATATTTGACGGAAGGGCAAAATTGATGTTCTTCTCAAGAAAACATAGTCAGGGTTTTATCATAATAAAACACAGCTATAAAGTGAGAATGGCTTTCTAGTGTGTAGCCTATGTTCAGAGGCCTGAGCAATTTGCAGTAACTATATGCTATGTTTTCCTAGTTCTTCCCAGTGTACAGCTTGCACCTAAAAAATAACTACTCTGCAAAGATTTCACGTTATAGATTTTAATATATACATATGTTTTCCATTTTGCCTTTACACCATAAATCAATTGTTTACAAGTGGTATTGGGGTATACCTATTTCTAATAATGAATTGACCTTAAATGACTATGTTTATACTTCCTAGTATACCGCTACTAAAGTCTAATTATAACCTCATTGAAATACAAATATTTTCTTTTAATCCATTTTAAAATTTGAACTGCAGTGGCCACCATTGCCTCATATGTGCAATAAACTTTAGGCGGACGATGACATAAAAATGCCAACAGAGCTATTTATTTAACTATGTCAAATCTACTGGCCAGCAAAATTGGTTACGACTGCTGGCCAGTTGTTGCCAAATGTAAAATGATACAAAAAACTACAACCGAACCAGGTGCATTTGCTTGTAGCTTCAAACAAAAAAGGGAAGAACAGAAAGACTCAGCATTACACTCTGAGTGATCCATTATATTATACTACAAGGCATCATATAATTGTAAACTAATCTCCCCACATTGCATAGCTTTACATTTAGTACAACACAATTTTATCATATTCAATCGCTGTTTTTTAATTAAAGGTATATTGCCCTTTTTTTTTTTTTTTTCTTTGTGGTCTTTCAGATCAGCCATGCTTTGATTTTGGCCTGTCAGGTGTTCTTGGAATTGCTTTTGGAGGGTTCCTGATTGGAGTGTTACTTATTGGAGCGTTGTGGTTTATCAAGATTAAAACAGGTAAATGCATGTTCTGTTTTGTATCCTATTCTAATTGTAACCTGTGTAAAACAGATCACATAAATTTGGGTCACTTTTATTCAACATATTCTCACTAGCTCAGATAACAATGTTTGCCACATTTGACACAGGATTACGCCTACATTTTAACATCCACAGATGGTCTAATACTGTATCATTTTGCCACCATGTAAATAAAGAAAGATTACCCAAATAGTTTCCAGTCAAAACAGGATAAAGAAAAAACATGTGCATGGTTTTATTTGCAACATTTTATAAAATGCTCCTGCCAGAGTCCAATATAATGCCACAAAAATAGGTAATTTTACACCAAACCCTACATTAATTCATTACGTTCTTGTGTGCAAAAAGTTTGATTTTTAAATCTAAGAGATGAAATGGTCATCTCGGGATTACTTATTAGGTACTATGTAGATCACCCAACTATCACAAACCTGTTTTACTACATGTTCCCTGACCAGAACTATACAAGTGAAACATAATTTAGTCTCTTTGCTCCTCATCTCTGGAAAAAAACTCACTGAAAACCTCTGATGTTCAAAATTCATTGGCTTTTTAAAGTCTGGACTGCATATTTCCTATATAGAATAAAGCTTATGTACTTTTATCATGCCATAGGTATTTATTTGTTGTAATATTTGTAAAAAAAAAAAATATATATATTCTTTGCCATAAGAGTATCGGTTCACCGCTGTTCTCCATATTTATTTTCTATTGTGTTCCAACTTGTCAAATGTCCCAACCGAATATGCCTAGACTTAACGTGGTCTCATTGAATTAAACTCAGGGTACCCAGCTGGACTTGACATGAGGTCAACTGCTGCCAGTTTTCCTGGTGAGAAGTATAACTGTTCTTCATGATTTTCTTTTTTTGTTTTGTTATTGTGATCAGGTTCTAATCAGCATCTACCTTCTTTTTTAGGATGTCCCTGTTCAAGAGCAAAGCGACAACCTGTTTCTTCCAACCCATCACCCTCCGAGAATAGCAGCGCAAATGCTAGCATCGGAAGCACTCAGAGCACACCGACCAGCAGCATGGCATAAGATCATTGTGGGTTATACTAGCAGGCCACCATCCCTTCTGTGTCATCTTGATGGGTTTCAAGCTTTGTGTTGCATCCGTCCTTGAAAAAACATTTCTTTATACCCTACTCTGTTTAAATTGTTGTTTAAAAAGCACAACTGATGGTATTTGACATACCATGTCTAAAAATGGGTTTGATCTTGGAGTCTGGAGTTAGATGCGGAGAAAGGATGAATGATGATTAACCAAAGTTTTGATATTAGTTTTTTAATGCTTTCCTTTGCAGCCTCTCTGTAAATTCAAATTCCTCAGCCAGGATGTTACAGAGGCAAAAAAAAAAAAAAAAAAAAAAAAAAAAAATTGGCTCCCAGCAACAGGAAAAACAAACCATATCCCCCCAAGAGCTAACAGGAAATTCACAACATTCTTTCCAATGAATTGTCCTCGTGTGATGGGAGCACAGTAATAGTTATCCAGGACACGAACTGGTCCAAAGACAAGCTTTGAAAAACAGATGAAAAGATGTTTTGCGAACATTTAAGAAACACAAATATGACGGGTTGTGTGCTAGGTCAGTCCAGAGAAATTCATCAGCAACATAAAGGCGCCTAACGTTCTGTGTATTGGCATTTCCAAATAGACAAAACAAATACTTCCTTGTATGATGTTAGACTAATTTGCAGTCTATGGAACATGGTTTTATTGCTACCTCTTATTGAGTAGAAATCTGGAGCTAAGGTAAAACTTAAAACCAGGTTTCTGTAGTGAAGTTATTGGGGTTTTATTAATCATTTTTAATTTACTGTCATTTCTTGCTACCATATCAAAACCCTAAAGTGGCCCTATGGGCCATTTGTAGCTCACAAAATAAACTTATGATGCCATTGTTTTGTTATCCAGTGGATAAATAAGTGTCATCATATTGTTTTTCCATAGCACTCATTTCAGATTAGATTTGAACTACATTTAGTAATAAATTGGCAAAACTAAATGATGAAAGAAGACATTTACTGTGGACTAACATGGATTTTTTTTTTTTACTTACATGAGCTGAGAATGCATCACTATTTTATTGCAGAGTACCATATTTTTCAATATGTATTCCTGTATTCAGAGCTGAGCGGTGTTTGTAGAGATTCACTAAGATTTCCAGGCATCACACTGTTGCATCGTACCATTTAACACTCATCCAGCTCTTTCTTCCAGGTGGAGTCCCCCAAGCCCCCAAATAGTGTTGAGGTTAAACTTCAGTAGTTTTCATTTGCACAATACCCATTGTCACCAGTGACAGCAATTCTTCACCAGTACTTACCAACTTACTGTGCACGTTTTAGGTCTGTGGAACAGACCTTTGTATGATGACTTCAAGTCTTGTAATATGATTTTCATTACACTGTTAACCTTGTAGATTTCTTTTTGTTGTACAGATTTAAAAAACAAGATTTGATAGTTATTATACCCTCTTTCCTTGTATTGATTTTCCTTTTTTTCAGAATATAGCTATTCTCAATTGTCCTTTCTGTTTTGTAGGCATTATTGAGTTAAAAAGATTTCCGTTGGACTTAACAGGACGCTTATGAATCATGCTTCATACGAAGTTTGCTTTGAAAACTGAAACAACCTTGATAACACTTATACCTTAAGCTGCCATTAATTTAGACTTATTTTGCTTCTTTATCAAAAGACTGTTCAATCCTTTGAAAGACTCAGTATTCACATTTAGTAATGGCATTTAGTTTCAGAGGTCGTCCTTGTTGTAATAGTTATTGTATAATGATACATAAGAGCAGAATGACACTGTATGTTATAAAAACTAATATTCACACATTCATGGTGAATGGGTGAATGACTGAATGTAGTGGGAAGAGCTTTGGGGTCCTCTGGACTTGATAAAGTGCTACACAAGTACAAGACATTTATCATTAATTTATAATCACAAAAATTTGCTTCTCTAAATTTGATTGACAGGTAAATATATACATGTATTTTTCATATAAATGGTTGAATGTATCTTTTAATCTCTTATTTAAATCAGCTCTGAATACAGACTATTCAGACTTTATTGCATGATCAATATTAGCATTTCTACATCCCTCCGTATGTGCATTGACATATTTTATTAGTTCTTTTAACTGCTCTAACGGCATTTGAAAATGTTAAAAAAAGTAAAATAAAACAAACATATTTTCACCTGTTTCTAATCTAAATAGGTATATTTTCAATATTAGTTTGTGGTCAAAATGAACAGCTCATGTCCAAACTGTATAATATTGGCTCTATAAAAATATGCTGTTTTATTTATTCTTGTTCAGCTTCATTCTCAGACCTGTTCCAAACCAGTTTTGGGATACGTGTAGCATATTTCTCTCCTTCATACACACGTGCATTTTTTTTTTTTTTTTTAGACAGAAACAAAGAGGGCCAGAACAAATTGCCACTTGAGAATTTGTGCAATATGGTGAGAGGTTAACTTGCATGTATGTCCATATGTTATTTTTTGTTGTTGTTGTTTTTGTATGTGTTATATGATAGTCTTTCTTTGAATCATTCCATAACCTAGTTTATTTTTTGAGACAATTCAAATGGGGCACAAGACGCATCTCTTTTTATTTCAAAACATTTGACTTTTTATTCCAGTCATTTGAGACAACGCATGTCGCATCACATACTGGTCACATTGCAGTTTCACCCTGCTTGACCTTTGTCCTCTGTGAACCAAAAAAAACATAACAAGTCTGTGGACTGACATGTTGACACTGTATTGTGTTCATGGTGTCATCTTCAGACCGTGTAGTGGGGTTGTCAGTTCTGAAGACAGGACGTCTCCCCACTTAATACGTTCCAGATGAATATTCAGCACACTGTTATCAATATACAGTTCCTCCCTTATTTGCAGTACTGACATATGTTTTGATATGATAGGATAGGGAATGTGCATACTGCCCGGGTTAAAGCAACCCTTGTATCCGTCACAACAGTGAAAATAGACAGGATGTCAGTTCATCCACTTGTTAACCCTGCAGTGTTATCTTTGTGCTCATGTGGGCAGTTTTTTACCGTTTTAAGTGGTTTAATTTGTTGAGAATGAACTTTGGTAATTAATTTTTTATGGTGGTGTTGTTCTTCCCAGAGACTCTGTTTCTAAAATCATCCTAATAAAGTAAATTTGAGAGATATTTCTCCGGGTTTTTTTTATTTTTTTTTTTTATTTACCCTTAATATAGTGTGTAACCATTAGCATAATGCACGCATGTGTGAATCAGCAAACTTGGCAAGACCATATTGGAGATTGATAGAGCAGCAAAGCCAAGTACACAATAGAGCAAGCTCTAAAACATTCCTACCATCAATGAAAACAGAAACATTAAATGATACAGCATATCCAAGCTATAATTTCCCAAGAGGTTTAAGAAATATTATTCAATAATCACTATAACAGCAGATGTATTTATTTCCTTGTGTCTGATACAACTCCATTGGGATTTACAAAGGCCTGTTCTGACAGCGAGGTTCCTACGTAGACAGTTTCAGTCCCATATACAACCTTTATTTAAGAACTACTGTATAGGGCAATTAGTTTTCAAGAATGAAGTTTTGGCATCGTTAGAGGTAGCCTGGTAAAAACCAACCCCTTGTATTACGCTTTGCTTTTTTGCTTTGTACAGGAAGTCTGGGATTTTGGCTATTGCTTCCTGTTGTCATGCACAGAGAGTCTGTGGATAGACCAAAATGCAGACAGGAACTGGGAGTATGGATCATGTTGAATTTTTCTTTAATAATAAAATGGAAAACTTGCACAAAAAAGGAACACTGAAACAAGTCAGGATAAAACAACAGGGGGAACTAGGAAACCAGGAAGAAACAAAGAAGTAATGGGAATAAACAGGAGGAACCAACAAGGAATAACTGAGAGTGAGTAATACATATTGAGGAGCTTGATCAGGGAACAAGGAAGAGATGGCTGATTAGAAACAGCTTACTGGTGTGGGGAGAGAAAGAGAGATGAAGAATGGCACAGGTGGCGAGGGATAGCATACGCAACATGGAACTAAGTTAGAGTAAATCCTAACAAGAAATGCTTCTCACAAATGTCCAGGCTGTCTACTCAATGAATTCTGTGGTGAGAATTTACAATCTGTTTATCTAATTATTGCACGTGGACAAAGTAGCTTGTTTATGGCTAAGCAGTATTTTAAATTTGAATGAGGGAGCCAGCCATTTTATTTTACAAGAAAATGCTGTGACATAAATGTGAGTTTTGGTTTACCACAAATTTAATACACACAGTGCTGTGGAGTGCAAGACTGAAATTAGGTAACGTCTTGCATGAAGCTAGCTAAAAAAAAATGAAGCTAATTATTACATCAGTGTTTGTTTGGAATAGAGCGATGACACACACCCAAGAAATGTTTGTAGAAGGTCTCATTCTCCAAAATAGGATCATGGAGCCACTCAGCCGAGAGAAGCAGACGTTGTTTGTGTTTGTGCCTGGGTGTATGCTGAACGGTTCGCATCTCGGTGTAGAAATCTGTTCTTGTCTGCAAAAAGTATGCTTTGTGAAGTGTGTTATTTGGGCTATGCGTACAGGATCCAACAGTAGCCTCGGGGCAAAACCAGCCATCACAGCTCTTTTCTTGTAAAATCAAGGTGTTGGGGGTTGGGGGTGGGGGGGTAATGGTCTCATGAAGTATTTGTGTTTGTATGTAAATAAGGAAACACATGTCAGTGTTGTACTAGGCTCCAGGTTCTATGAATATATTTCCTAAAGAAAAAAAAGAAAAAGAAAAATATCTTCCCAAGGAGTTTTTTTTCCCCCCATTCCTTTAGATCACATCTTGTCTGCTTCTTTAATGAAGGATGAAGAAGGATTTTTGTGTTTAGCAATAAAGCAATATATAAACTATATGCCACATTTAGTCACAATAACTTGGAAAAAATAATATGGAATGTGAGGCAATTAGAGCCAACTTGAGTTTTTTTTTTTTTTTTTTGTCAAGCTTATTTTAAACAAGTGCTATAAAAATATTATACTTCTTCTGAAGATATTTTATAATTTGGTCATGAAATCTATTACTAATTTTATTTTTTAACATGTTGCAATTAATCAAGCATTTTTATTCAAATCTCTGTTTTCCATATAACATTTTTAAAGAAAAGATTTTTTTTGTTGTTTTTTTTTCAAACAGCTGTGTTGAGCAGAATTTAAATTTTAAAACTATCTGTATGTGTACAGAAGAAGCATGGCAATGCCCCTTCTCTCTCATTACATTGAGAAAGGAGTTCTGGGGGCTACCACCAGAGGGTGCATTTCTTTTATCTGGTCTTCTGCAACAAGAGGGATTGTGTTACTCATAAACAGAGCAAGACAATGAGATTTTCCTGATATATTATTAAAAGAGCAGTACTGCAATAAAGTGTTAAAGAAATGAAAGCTATGTGGGTAAAAACTTGAGCCAACATTGGCAGCTATTTGATTATAACTATCCTGTATGTGTGCTTAATTCGGTTTTTAAAATCAGATTAGCAAATCTGTAAGCCCAGTCTGATATAAAGCTGATAAAGCCTCAGGGGCGTGTTGAATCCAGGAAACTACATGTGAAGCTACCCACAGTAAGCACTCTCTCACTCAGACTTTCACGCCCCGAGGTGCTGTGCTGCACACAAGGTTGTTTACACTCTTCAAGGCTGTGCACAGGCTTTGCCCCTGTCCTCATCCTTCACCCCCCACACACACATTCACTTTCTCGCAAGTATCAACATACTTACCCACACCTCACTGACTATCCACAGCCTGGTCCTTGGTAATCCTCTAACTTATAGGCAGTGCAGTGTGCCCCAAGCAAATCCCATTCCTTGAAAATGCAGTCACCTCTGAAGATGATGTTTGGCTAAAAC